AAAAAAAAAAATCCAATTTGAGTGACTGGAAATGGGCCATACTGAAAATAGTTTTCTGATTTAGTCACATGATGAACATTTTTCTGTTCTTACCTTCTTTTCTATCCTGATTTTATTCACTCTTTTTACTGTCATTAATAATATTATTACAACTATAGGATAACAGGGTTTTTTTGTCAGGACTACACTAAGTGCTTTTATTTATATTATCTGTCATATTCTTTACAACTCCATAAAAGAGGTACTATTTTTATTCTCTTTTTAGAAGTGAAGACACTAAGGCTTAGAAAAGTTAAAGAACTTGCCCAAGGTCACAGAGCTATTAAATGACAGAACTGGAATCTGAACCCAATCTAATTACAAAGAATGTATTTCTTACCTTCTATGCTATAATGCATATATTGTTGCCGAATTATTTGAAATTAGTGGAAAGATCATGTTCTCAATGGTTTCAGGTCTTCTCTTTGCAACTAGCCTGGTTTATCTATGCATTAATACACAGTAATCCGTAGATAATCTCTCTCAGTACAGAAGTCTTGTGGTTTGTATATTCTCCAGACTTTCTTTGTTATCTTGGGCAAGTAACTTAACCTCTAGCTATATGTCTTTCCTTTTTAATGATGCACTTCAGTAAAGAAAAGCATTGGGCAATATGAAGTGGTAGTGATAACAACTATTTAAGAAAGACATAATGGCGTCTCAAATTCTAGAATGCTTTATGCCATCACAATTTTTATCTCATCCATTAGCCTTCTAAAAACACAAGTCCTACAAAGACAAGGATCATGTCTATTTTATTCACTTAATTATACTCAAGGTCTATTACAGTTGCTGGGCTATAAAATAGCTAAATGTTAAATGAATGCATCTTTACATAGTAATTTCCCTGACTGTGTCACACAGATGAAATGGAACAGACTGCCGCCCACCATATCTCTATCCCAGTGCCCAGCCCTACATATGTTATTATTTGCTTGGTTGAGTTGCTAAAGTTAGGGGAAATACTCAAGAGGTATAATTTTGTGTTGTTATTTACTTTTTTGTTCAGTACACCTCTTCCTACCCACAGGTAATCTATTAAAAAGCCAGTTTTTCATAGTATTTTAGTCTCAACTGTAGTGAGTGAAATGTGCCAATTTGTAGCACTGGCTTTGGATTTTCTTCCCAACTTTTAAATTTGGAAATTTTTAAACCTATAGAACACCAAAAGAAATGCAGTGAACAGCTAAATGCCTTCCCTTAGATTTACCAGTTGTTAATACTTTGTCACCTTTGGTCATGAATGCTTACTTCTATTCTCTCTTGTCTCCCTCTTCCCTTTCCTGCTCTCACATTTGTTTTTTGAACCACTTGAAAGTAAGTGGTAGACATTGTAATATTTTAAGTCCTTTAGCTTACACCAAAGAATAAGACAGAACTATATAAGCACAATATTATTATCACACATAAGAAAATCATAATTCTGTAATAATATTTAATCCTTATGATGTGGTGAACTTTTTGTTGTATCACACCAGGAGGCAAATAATGTCCCTCTATTAATGGTGCTAAGTTTGATTGCTTGCCTAAGGTGATAATTGTTAGATCTCTTCATTGCAAAAGTAAGTAATTTGTGGAGTGGTACTTTGGTACCATATAAATACCTTATTCTCCAACAACCTTTCGCCAGTAATTTTTTGCATCCATTGATTGATCCATGCCTGAGTCGGTTTATTACATTGGAGTTACCATTGAGTTTTGAAACTTGGAGTTATATTTTTAAAAAAGGAGAAAGACATTTGCAAAAGAGACATTGTTAATTTTTTTCTTGATATTAGGCATTTCTAAAAAGGAAATGATAGTAGTTGAGCTGTTCATAGTTCTTTTTATCTTTTTGACTAAATATTTTAATCATTTGAAACTCCCCAGAAACTCAGCAATGTGAATTTTTGTTTCCAACAGCTGCTAACATTGTGATCCAGACTGAACCACCAGTTCCTGTTTCAATTAATAGCAACATAACCAGAGTAGTTCTTGAACCAGATAGCCGAAAAAGAGCTTTGAGTGGTTTGGAAGGGCCGCTCACAAAGAAACCTTGGCTGGGAAAGTAAGATAACTTGCTAATTAGTAACATCTAATTGGTGTCATTGTTTTTTTGCATTATTCATAAAATTAAGAGTTGTCATTAATCAGTAATTTTCAAACTATGTATCTCAAAGTTAGGGTTCCAGGAGAT